GGGTCGCCGCCCCTGCAGTTGCAGCAGCCGCAGCATCCGCCGCAGTCGCAGCAGCCGCCGCAGTCGCAGCCTTCGCAGCAGCCGCAGCAGCCGTCGCCGACGCGGCAGACGAGTGTTCTCCCGCCAGGGTGGCCCGGCGCTGGCAGTGGACGGGCGCGTGGTGGTGTGCCGCGTGGTGGCTCTGCCGGCGGGCGTTGTCAGTACCAGATCCAGACCGGTCCTCGCCGCGGCTTCGTTTGCGGTAAGATCGCTCACTCCACTCCCCGCTGTTTTCGTCGCTTGGACGACCTCTTTCGTCAGCGCTTCGGCCCGTCGCCAGACCTCCCGGACTGGCACAGTTTGCTTAGTCGTAAGATTCAGATCTTTGATATGGACATGGATGCCATTGTTTCTGCTCTGCATGTGATGTATGCTGATGACTCTAGTGTGCTTCCCGCTTATTACTCACTCTTGCCTAGTGTAGGTGTGCCTAGCTTAGCCTCCCCTGCCGCTTCAGGCGTAGGATCCCCTGCTTTGTGTAGTCTTGGTGCTTCTGCCGTCGTTCTGTCGCCAGACCCCTCGGCTTCGCTTTCCTTCACCTTGGACTCTGGCGCCTCTCGGTGTTTCTTCCGCGACTCCACCACCCTGACGCCACTTCCTGTTCCTGCTGCCGTTTCTCTTGCTGACCCCTCCGGCGGTCCGGTAGTCGCCCGCAGTTCCACCACCCTTCCCTGTCCGGCGGTTCCTTCGGGCTCTCTTACAGGTCTGCATATCCCCTCGTTCTCCAGAAACCTAGTTGGTGTCGGCTGCCTCCAGGACCTTGGCGTCACCACTACGTTCCCTGGTCACGAGCGGTATGCTGTCTGTACCGAGGCCGCCACTGGTGCCCCCCTGTCCACGTTCCCCCGGGACCCGGTGTCCGGCCTGTTCACTCTGGACACCGTGCCCCCCCCGGCTGGAGCGCCCCCTCAGGTGGCTGTGTCTACCCAGGTTGCTGCTGCCTGCTCCTGTCGCTCCCTCACTCACCCGACCCTCCTGTGGCACCACCGCCTAAGTCACCCTGCGCTCCCGCGTCTGCGTCACATGTCCCAGCACGGTCTTGTCCTTGGTCTCCCAGGTTCACTCCCCGCGTTTCCCTCCTCCCCAGCTCCACCTTGCACGCCTTGTGTCGAGGGTCGGCTTCGCCGTGCCCCTCACTCCTCCTCGTTCCCCCCTACCGCCGCGCCGCTGCAGACCCTACACCTGGACGTCTGGGGCCCCGCCCCCGTCCCTGGGCCGCGTCGCGAGCGCTACTTCCTTGTGCTTGTCGACGACTTCACTCGTTACACCACAGTCTTTCCCCTGGAGCGCAAGGCCGACGTGCCTGGCGCCCTCATCCCCTAGCTTGTCTCTGCGCGTGTCCACCGCGATCTCCCTGTCTTGCGTCTTCACTCAGATCGTGGTGGCGAGTTTGCCTCAGGTGTCCTTGGTCGCTTTTGTCGTGCGGAGGGCATCACCCAGACGTTCACCCTACCGGACTCCCCACAGCAGAATGGGGTCGCTGAGCGACGCATCGGTTTGGTCATGGAGGTCGCTCGCACTGCCATGGTCCATGCCGGTGCACCCCATTTTCTGTGGCCGTTCGCTGTGCGCTACGCTTCTCACCAGCTTAACCTGTGGCCGCACCCTCAGCAGCCGCAGGTTTCGCCGACCCGTCTGTGGACTGGGTCTCCTGGTGACGCGTCTGCGTTCCACGTCTGGGGCTGCCTTGCTCACGTCCGTGCCTCCGGCACGGACAAGATCACTGCCCGCACCCTTCCTTGCGTCTTCCTCGGTTTTCCCCTTGACGCGTCCGACTGGCTCTTTTACCACCCACCGTCTCACCGGTTCTTTCACTCTCGTGACGTCACCTTTGACGAGTCCGTCTCCTACTACCGCCGCTTCCCCCACCGTGGTCCCCCGGTTACCCCCCCCCTGTTCCTGGTCACCCCTTCCCCGGTAGTCCCTGCCCCTCCTCCTCCTCCTCCCCGTCCCGCCCCCTCTGGTGTCTCCCACGTCACCCCCCTTCCGTCCGAGGACCCGGTTGAGGAGTCTTCTGACTCTGGTGGCCCTCCGGTGCAGTCCTTGCCAGCCGCCCCTCCCCAGGTGTCCCCTCCCCAGTCCCCTCCTCCGCCACCCCTGCCGCCGCTGCAGCCGTCGCCGTCGCCGCCGCCGCCGTCGCAGCCCCCGTTCGCTGACTCTGGGGGTGCTCGTCCCGGTCGCCCTGAGGGTGGTCCCTCTGGGGGTGCGGGTGTGGAGAGTGCCGGTGGTAGCCGAGGAGCAGCTTGCGGTCCAGGTGTCACCGTTGTGCCGCCGCAGTAGCAGTCCCCACCGGTGTCCACCCTTCGCCTGCTCGGCCTTCCGTCCCCCGACCCTGCGTCGGTTCCTCCCCGACCGTCTCCTCCTCTTCCTGTCTACGGCCCTGTTTTCCCTCCGCCGGACTCGTCCCCGGCCCGTCTCCCCCCTCGTTCCCCTCCTGTGTCCCCTCCCCTGTCTCCTGACCCGACTCCTCCGTCCCACGTCTGGTCTCACCGTCCCTCCCGTGCTCGTCCTGCCTCTCCTGTCTTGCGCTACCACCCTATGTTGCTTCGTTCCCACGCGTCTCGTCCTCCCCTTCTGCCGTCGCCTCCTCCGTCCTCCCTTGTTGTTGCGCCCCCCCCGCTGTCCGACTACCTTCGTGCCGCTCGTCCTCTCGTTCCTCGGGTCCTTGCCTCTCTCGTTACCGGCCCGTCTGTTCCGGTCTCGTGCCTTGACGCTCTTGTCGCTGCTGTCGCTGACTTCGCCTCTACCCGCCGCCTTGACTACGCCACCGCTCTGGTCTCTGACCCTGCCTGTCCTCCGTCTGTCGGGGGTGCTCCTGCCCTTGGCAGTGACATCCTGGAGGACCGCCAGTTCGAGCTTGCTTTCCTCTCTGAGGCTGCTCCCCATCTCTGTTCCATGCTGCTAGTCCCTGAGGGTGACCCAGACGCTTTCGACATCCTGACCCCTCGCACTTACGCTGAGGCGACTTCGGGACCCTGGGCCTCGCAGTGGATAGCTGCCATGGAGCAGGAGATGGCATCTTGGAGATCCACCGGCACCTTCGTCGACGCAGTTCCCCCGCCTGGGGTGAACGTAGTCGATGGCCGCTGGCTCTTCAAGGTGAAGCGCCCTCCTGGAGAGCCGCCTGTCTTCAAGGCGCGCTATGTGGCTAGAGGCTTCAGTCAGCGCGAGGGGGTGGACTTCTTCCAGACTTTCGCTCCGACCCCGAAGATGACTACTCTTCGGGTTCTGTTACACCTAGCTGCTCAGCGTGACTACGAGCTTCACTCCCTCGACTTCTCCACTGCCTTCCTTCAGGGCAGCCTACACGAGCAGGTCTACCTGCGCCGCCCTCCGGGCTTTACTGGCACCTTCCCACCTGGGACCCAGTGGCTCCTGCGGCGCCCCGTCTACGGCCTGCGCCAGGCTCCTCGTGAGTGGCACGACACTCTCCGTGCTACGCTTGCTGACCTGCAGTTCTTTCCGTCTTCTGCAGACCCTTCACTCTTCGTTCGTGCTGGCCAGACTCCGTTCTACATCCTCGTTTACGTCGACGACCTGGTCTTTGCCACAGCAGACAGGGACGCGCTGGCCTCCGTGAAGGCAGAGCTGCTGAAGAGACACACCTGCACTGACCTTTGAGAACTGCGCTGCTACCTTGGCTTGCAGATCTCCAGGGACAGAGCTGCGCGCACCATCACCCTGACTCAGTCACACTTGGTGCGCCAGGTCCTTCAGAGGTTCAGCCTTCAGTTCTCCTCTGCACAGCCCACCCCTCTGCCTGTAGACCACAGGCTCTCCGCTCCAGTGCCTGAGGAGTTGGTAGAGCCCAGCGGCCCCTACGCAGAGCTGGTGGGTTGCCTCATGTACCTGATGACTTGCACTCGCCCAGATCTCGCATACCCTCTCAGCATCCTGGCTCGCTTTGTGGCCACAGGCAGACACCGACCGCAGCACTGGTCTGCCGCTAAGAGGGTTTTGCGTTATCTTGCTAGTACATCGGGCATGGGGTTAGTGCTAGGAGGACGCAGGCCAGTGGTCCTTACTGGGCACACAGACGCTTCGTGGGCAGACGACGCTGAGACACTCCGGTCTACCCAGGGCTACTGCTTCAGCCTTGGCTCAGGTGCCGTCTCGTGGAGAGCTACTCGCTCCTCGTCTGTTGCACAGTCCAGCTGTGAGGCTGAGATCTACGCCGGTGCCATGGCGGCACAGGAGCTCCGCTGGCTGACCTTCTTGCTCACTGACTTAGGTGAGCGGCCTAGCTCTGCCCCGGTCCTGTTCGCTGACAACAGGGCCATGATCCTCCTGTGTCAGGAGCCTCGACTCGAGGGCAGAGCGAAGCACATTCAGCTGCGGTACTTCCTCCTGCGTGAGCTACAGCAGCGACGTCAGGCTCGCGTAGTACACTTGGCCTCAGGTGCCAACACAGCTGATATCTTTACGAAGGCGCTTGCGCCTAAAGATCATCAGCGGCACTGTGTACAGCTTGGTCTAGTTCCTGTAGCCTCTCACTTGCTAGGACCTTGACTTTGTACTGTCCTTTATATGTATACTCAGACTGGACTTGTGTCCTCTCCCAGTGGCTGGACTAGTAGTGCCGCCCTGCTCTTGTGCTTGCCTTGTCTGTACTCCTTCTGACTGGTCGCTCAGACCCTTGTCTCAGAGGTTGGACTAGTAGTGCCGCCCTGAGCTGTTTGTTTAGGACTTTCCCCTATGCAGTCTAGGGGGTGTGTCAAACATATCTATTTGTTATGTTTGTATAGACTGTATAGGGTAGCCTCTTAGAGGGTACAACACTTAGCTATATTGTGTGTATTCTCTCTCTATCACTATCACTTAAATTTCTGATAAAAACTCCCCCTGCCTTTCCCTCCTCCGCAACATCCACGTCGGGTTCATAGGTAAGACCAAACTCAAAATACAGCGTGGCGAAATCACCAAATTTCCCAACCAGTCACATGTTTCGTTTTTTTTTTTCCAAATCACCTCACTAAACTCGCCAACACCCAACTAACTTTACGGGTTCAGGGTTTTTCTCAATCTTGCACAGCAGCTTTAACTCACTTGCAACAAACGAATTAGCTAATTATATTTTATTTACCGTTAGCACTACAGGTGAAAGCGGCATGAGCAACTGCTGTTGGTGAGACTGAATATATGCACACGGACCAGTAGGTACTGCATTACCATAATAAAGGCATGGCATGGCATGGCATTACCCTAAGGGTGTCCCAAGCCATCCCTGCAGATTTCGGAAGACGGAAAGCTGAAAAGGTGGCTCGTAGGCAATGTGCTTTTAGTAGAGAAGGTGCTTATATAAAGAAATTCTGCATGACTCGCTTGGCACTGCTGATAGACCAGCGGTACTCGGGAAAGGTCACTAGATCCTCCCTGTGTTCGCAGGAGGGGGGTGGGAAATACAGGGGCGGACAAGGCAGATGAGACTGGTGACTGTTGGTGAGGGGAGGAGGGAAGTGCACCCCTCACTTGGCACTGCTGAAGGGTAGGAGGGCAGTTTACCTGAAGGGCAGGAGAGGTGCTTACATGAAAGGCAGGAGAGGTGCTTACATGAAAGGCGGAAAGGATATTTCACCTGAATGGCAGCAGGAACCGCTTGTAGGCGAGAGGATGCTCTCGTGACACAGCAGAGAGAGAGGAAGAGGTCGGGGGGAGAGGAAGAGGTTGGGGGGAGAGGAAGAGATCGGGGGGAGAGGAAGAGGTCGGGGGGAGAGGAAGAGGTCGGGGGAAGAGGAAGAGGTAGGGGGGAGAGGGAGAGTTAGGGGGGAGGGGAAGAGGTAGGGGGGAGAGGAAGAGGTCGGGGGGAGAGGAAGAGGTAGGGGTGTGGGTGTGGGTGGAGGAAGAGGTAGGGGGGAGAGGAAGAGCAGAAGGGTAGCAGGCACAGTTCACCTGAAGGGCAGCAGGAACGCCCCTGATCTGATCTGCGCGGCTATTGAGCCGACTCGCCGAGACCTGAAGGGGTGTTTACCTGAAGGGCAGGAGGGGTGTTTACCTGAAGGGCAGGAGGGGTGTTTACCTGAAGGGCAGGAGGAACTCCTTGTAGGCAGAGAGGATGCGCTCGTGGCACACGCCCCTGATCTGCGTGCGAGCCACCGAGTCCTGCACGTGGAAGCGGCGCATGTTGAAACAGAGCTCCTCAAACGCCACGTTGAAGGCGTCTATCCTGGGAGAGGGAAGTGGGGGGGGCACGAGGCAAGGCAAGAGAGAGAGAGAGAGAGAGAGAGAGAGAGAGAGAGAGAGAGAGAGAGAGAGAGAGAGAGAGAGAGAGAGAGAGAGAGAGAGAGAGAGAGAGAGAGAGAGAGAAAGGGGGGGTCTTGCGTGCACTAGCCTAGCAACTGAGCCACCGAGCCCTGCACGTGGAAGCGGCGCATGTTGAAATAGAGCTCCTCAAACGCCACGCTCAAGGCGTCCATCCTGAGCGGGGGGGAAGAGGGGGGGAGGGGAGGGGCGGGGGGGGGGTTGGGAGTAAGAGAAGGGGATGTGTTGGGCATTGATCGATCTGCGTTGCGTGCGAGCCACCGACCCTTGCACGTGGAAGCGACACATGTCGAAGCAGAGAGCTCCTCGAATGCCACGTTGAAAGCGACCATCCTGGGGAGAGGGGGGGGATCTACAGGATCCGAGAGACAATAAGAGGGGAGGTGAGGGGGTTGAGCGATCAGCGTGCGAGCGACCGGGTCTTTCACGTGTGGAAGCGGCACGTGCTTCAACCGAGCTCCACAATGACAAGGAGATCCCCTTGCACAAGGATGGGAGGTGGACAAATGACACATGATGAGCCACCAACCGAGTCTTTCACCGGTAAGTGACACGTGTTTCAGCCGAGCTCCTCAAAGACAGGGAGATTCCCTTGGACAAGCCACTGAGCCGCTGCCTTTTTTATCCTGGCTTTTTGCACAAGCCAGTAAGCTACTGTTTCTTGAGCTGCTTTCGAGGCGTCAACGGCGGCCTCCGAGGCTGTTAGACTTTCCTTGGTGGATCTTGCCTCCTTTCCTTGGTGGATCTTGCCTCCTTTCACTGCACCCTAATGTCACTGCACCCTAATGTCACTGCACCCTTATGGGGCGCCTCAAAAGCTTTCCCTAATGTCACTGCACCCTAATGTCAATGCACCCTTATGGGGCGCCTCAAAAGCTTTCCCTAATGTCTCTGCACCCTAATGTCACTGCACCCTTATGTCACTGCACCCTTATGTCACTGCACCCTTATGTCACTGCACCCTAATGTCACTGCACCCTAATATCACTGCACCCTTATGGGGCCCTCAAAAGCTTTCCCTAATGTCACTGCACCCTTATGGGAGCTTACCCTTTCTTGAACTCAGTGTGTTATGAGTTTTGCTTTGAGGCAACTCAAAACGAGACTCATAACTCCCTGACAGGAGCTTACCTTAGCTTGAACTCAGTGCGTTATGAGTCTTGCTTTGAGTCGGCTGAAAACGAGACCCATGACTCCCTGAAAGGAGCTTACCTTTTCCTGAACTCCTCAGGCGATATGCCGGTGGTGGGTGCGCCTATTTGCGCCATCATCTGCAGGCGAGCAGGAGGGGCATGGAGAGAGAGAGAGAGCGGGGAAGGGAGACAGCTGCTGAGTGAGGCAAGGCGATATGCCGGTTGGTGGTGGGTGCGCCTATTTTTGAGGCGCCTAAAAAAAAAACTGAGGGAGGCAGGGGGATCTGCCGGCGGCGGTGGGTGAGCCTATTATTGAGGTGCCTAAAAAATCATCTCATTTTGAGGCGCCTCAAAAAAAATCTGAGGGAGGCAGCGCGAGATGCCGGTGGTGGGTGCGCCTATGGTATGGACGGTGTCATCTGCAGTTGAAACACCGAGGGGGAGGGAGAGGGGCAGGGGGAGAGGGGGAGAGGGGGAGAGGGGGAGAGGGGGAGAGGAGGGGAGGGGGGAGGGGGAGAGGGGGTGAGGGGGGGAGGGGGGAGGTGGGGAGGGGGGAGGGGGGGAGGGGGAGAGGGGGGGAAGGGGGAGAGGGGGAGAGGGGGAGAGGGGGAGAGGGGGAGAGGGGGAGGGGGGGAGGAAGGGAGGGGGGAGGGGGGAGGGGGGGAGGGGGAGAGGGGGAGAGGGGGAGAGGGGGAGGGGGAGGGGGAGAGGGGGAGAGGGGGAGAGGGGGAGAGGGGGAGAGGGGGAGAGGGGAGAGGGGGGAGGGGGAGAGGGGGAGAGGGAGAGGGGGAGAGGGAAGGAGGGGGGAGGGGGGAAGGGGGAGGGGGGAGGGGGAGAGGGGGAGAGTGGGAGAGGGGGAGGAAGGGAGGGGGGGAGGGGGGGGGGGGGGGGGGGGGGGGAGGGGGGGGGGGGGGGGGGGGGGGGAGGGGGGGAGGGGGGAGAGGGGAGAGGGGGAGGGGGAGGGGGAGAGGGGGAGAGGGGAGGGGGAGAGGGGGAGAGGGGAGAGGGGGAGAGGGGAGGGGGGAGGGGGAGAGGGGGGAGAGGGGGAGAGGGGGAGAGGGGGAGAGGGGAGAGGGGAGAGGGGGAGAGGGGGAGAGGGGGAGAGGGGAGAGGGGGAGAGGGGAGAGGAGAGGGGAGAGGGGGAGAGGGGGAGAGGGGAGAGGGGAGAGGGGGAGAGGGGGAGAGGGGGAGAGGGGAGAGGGGGAGGGGGAGAGGGGGAGAGGGGGAGAGGGGGAGAGGGGAGAGGGGGAGAGGGGGAGGGGGAGAGGGGGAGAGGGGGAGAGGGGGAGAGGGGGAGAGGGGGAGAGGGGGAGAGGGGGAGAGGGGGAGAGGGGGAGAGGGGGAGAGGGGGAGAGGGGGAGAGGGGGAGAGGGGAGAGGGGGAGAGGGGGAGAGGGGGAGAGGGGGAGAGGGGGAGAGGGGGAGAGGGGGAGAGGGGGAGAGGGGGAGAGGGGGAGAGGGGGAGAGGGGAGAGGGGGAGAGGGGGAGAGGGGAGAGGGGGAGAGGGGGAGAGGGGAGAGGGGGAGAGGGGGAGAGGGGGAGAGGGGAGAGGGGGAGAGGGGGAGAGGGGAGAGGGGGAGAGGGGGAGAGGGGGAGAGGGGAGAGGGGGAGAGGGGGAGAGGGGGAGAGGGGAGAGGGGGAGAGGGGAGAGGGGGAGAGGGGGAGAGGGGAGAGGGGAGAGGGGGAGAGGGGGAGAGGGGAGAGGGGGAGAGGGGGAGAGGGGGAGAGGGGGAGAGGGGAGAGGGGGAGAGGGGGAGAGGGGAGAAAGAGGGGGAGGGGGGGAGGGGGAGGGGGGAAGGGGGAGAGGGGGAGAGGGGGAGAGGGGTAGAAGGGGAGAGGGGGAGGGAGAGCGGGGGAGGGGGGGAGGGGTAGAGGGGGTGAGCGGGAGAGGGGGAGGGGGGAAGAGGGGGAGAGGGGGAAAGGGGGAGGGTGAGGGGGAGAGGGGGGGAGGGAGAGGGAGATGGGTGAGGGGAGGCAGCTGAGGGGAGCAGGGGAGATGCCAGTGGTGGGTGTGCCTATGGCCCCCCACCACCTACAGGCGAGCAGGAGGGGCATGGAGAGATGGAGAGGGAAGGTGGAGAGGAGAATGGGAGAGCGAAAGGGATCTGGGGAGAGGGAGAGGGGGTGAGCCTATAGACGCCATCATCTGAGAGCGAGCAGGATGCGCAGAGAGACAGGGAGAGGGTGAAGGGAAGGGGATCAGATAGAGACGTGCCGGTGGTGGGTGCGCCTACGGCCGCCCATCTGCAGACGAGCAGGAGGGGCATGGAGAGAGAGAGAGTGAGGGAAGGTGGAGAGGAGAACGGGAAAACGAAAGGGATCTGGGGAGAGGGCGATATGCCAGAGGCTGAGAGCTCGTAGAGGCGCTTTTGCTTGCAATCACTCACATCCCCCTCTCTTCCCTGTCTCTTTCCACCCCTCATTCCACCCCTCTCATCCCTCATTCCACCCCTCTCATCCCTCATTCCACCCCTCTCATCCCTCATTCCACCCCTCTCATCCCTCATTCCACCCCTCTCATCCCTCACACCCCCCTCACTCACATCCTCCTCACTCCCATCCCCCTCACTCCCGTCCCCCTCACTCACTCCCCCCTCACTCCCATCCCCCTCACTCACACCCTTGTCACTCACATCCCTTGCACTCACATCCCTCTCTCTCACACCCCTCTCGCTCACATTTTGGAGCAGCATGTCCAGGAATCGGTGAAGTAGTCTGAGCACTGGTAGAGGCGCTTTCCCTCTCATTCACACCCCTTGCATTCACACCCCTTGCATTCACTCCCCTTGCATTCACACCCCTTGCATTCACTCCCCTTGCATTCACACCCCTTGCATTCACTCCCCTTGCATTCACTCCCCTTGCATTCACACCCCTTGCATTCAATCCCCTTGCATTCACACCCCTTGAATTCACTCCCCTTGCATTCACTCCCCTTGCATTCACACCCCTTGCATTCACTCCCCTTGCATTCACACCCCTTGCATTCACTCCCCTTGCATTCACACCCCTTGCATTCACTCCCCTTGCATTCACACCCCTTGAATTCACTCCCCTTGCATTCACTCCCCTTGCATTCACACCCCTTGCATTCACTCCCCTTGCATTCACACCCCTTGCATTCACACCCCTTGCATTCACTCCCCTTGCATTCACAACCCTTGCATTCACACCCCTTGCATTCACTCCCCTTGCATTCACACCCCTTGCATTCACACCCCTTGCATTCACTCCCCTTGCATTCACACCCCTTGAATTCACTCCCCTTGCATTCACTCCCCTTGCATTCACTCCCCTTGCATTCACACCCCTTGCATTCACTCCCCTTGCATTCACACCCCTTGCATTCACTCCCCTTGCATTCACACCCCTTGCATTCACTCCCCTTGCATTCACACCCCTTGAATTCACTCCCCTTGCATTCACTCCCCTTGCATTCACACCCCTTGCATTCACTCCCCTTGCATTCACACCCCTTGCATTCACACCCCTTGCATTCACTCCCCTTGCATTCACAACCCTTGCATTCACACCCCTTGCATTCACTCCCCTTGCATTCACACCCCTTGCATTCACACCCCTTGCATTCACTCCCCTTGCATTCACACCCCTTGCATTCACTCCCTTTGCATTCACTCCCCTTGCATTCACTCCCCTTTAGACATGGTTAAATCGCATCGCATCGTGTTACATCGCATTTTGCGATAGCGATTCATTTTTTTTCTTTTTCTTTTTTTAAAGAATATCGCGGCGATGCGATGCGATAATATTGCGCGATATTTGCGATATCGCGTTTATATCGCGCTATTTTTTGGGCGATAAAATGCGATAAGCGATAAAAATATATCGCGCGCGATACTTTCGCGCATCGCGTCGCGGGATTTCGCCAGCAAGGGGGGGGACATGGGCGAGGGCCCTGAACTTAGCGAAAATAGATGGTAAGCTAGTCTAGGTTTCTCTTGCTGAATGGCGCGCAGAAATGGCAAGCGGCAGTTTGGGGGGAGGAGTTTGTGTGAGGAGCAGAGTTTGGAGCACATTAGAGTAGACATGGGCAAAAGAAATCGCATCGCATCGCATCGCATTTAATCGCGTTTTTGCGATGGCGATGTTTTTTTTTTTTTTTTTTTTTTTTAAATAATCATCGCGCGATGCGATGAATTAATATCGCGCGATTTAATTTAAATCGCAATTTAATCGCGCTAAAAAACGCGATTTAAATGCGATATGCGATTTTAAAAAAATCGAGCGCGATATTGCACTGAAACCCACTACGAAACCACACTGGTTATTTGCACTCTAGCTTACGATTGCCCGTGAGTCAATTTCCCCGCAGCCATGTTTTTTTTCTGTTTTTTTAAGTGTTTTTTTAATTCTGTTTTGAAACGCGATGCGATTTAATTAAATATCGCATGCGATTTTTAATACATCGCGGGTAAAATGCGATTTGCGATTTTTTTTTTTTGAAAATTAAATCGCGCGATGCGATTTAAAATCGCATTGCTTTTTTAAACATCGCACCTGCATGCGATGCGATTTAAATCGCAATCGCGTTTTGATCATGTCTACATTAGAGGAAGGGTTGGAAATTCTAGATGGGAAGAAGTGCAGTGTGGTTGAGGGAGGGGAGTTTGGTGGGGGTTCAAATTTGTTATGGTTGGTGGTGGGCGGTGGGCGAGTGGGTTTTCTGGATGGGATGTGGTGGTGTGCGGTTGAAGGGATTTAGGGGGTTGGACTGAAATCTAGACCCCCAAAGTCAGTTGGTTGGAACTCCAACCAATTTCCATTCCACCACTTCAACCGCACTAAACTCCCCTGCATCTACAGAATCCAACCCCTTCCCCTCAAACACGCTCCACATGAGAGAGGGACCACGATATTCCCATCTCCCGTCAATTCACTTACCTAATTCCGCGCGAACCTAGGAGAGCCGCCATTGTCGTGCCCTGTGGTGTGGGAACACGTTTTTTTAGGGCAGGAAAACAGTGGCCCCTAAATGCGATGCGATATAATATCGCATCGCGCAATGCATCGCTTTTTTTTGGAGATATTTTTAAATATCGCCCCCGAAAACGCGATATGCGATTTCGGTTTTCTTTTTTAACATATCGCAGCGATGTGATATCGCATCGCATCGCATTTTGACCATGTCTACTCCCCTTGCATTCACTCCCCTTGCATTCACTCCCCTTGCATTCACTCCCCTTGCATTCACTCCCCTTGCATTCACTCCCCTTGCATTCACTCCCCTTGCATTCACACCCCTTGCATTCACTCCCCTTGCATTCACTCCCCTTGCATTCACACCCCTTGCATTCACTCCCCTTGCATTCACACCCCTTGCATTCAATCCCCTTGCATTCACTCCCCTTGCCTTCACTCCCCTTGCCTTCACTCCCCTTGCATTCACTCCCCTTGCATTCACTCCCCTTGCATTCACACCCCTTGCATTCACTCCCCTTGCATTCACTCCCCTTGCATTCACTCCCCTTGCATTCACTCCCCTTGCATTCACTCCCCTTGCATTCACACCCCTTGCATTCAATCCCCTTGCATTCACTCCCCTTGCCTTCACTCCCCTTGCCTTCACTCCCCTTGCATTCACTCCCCTTGCATTCACTCCCCTTGCATTCACTCCCCTTGCCTTCACTCCCCTTGCCTTCACTCCCCTTGCATTCACTCCCCTTGCATTCACTCCCCTTGCATTCACTCCCCTTGCATTCACTCCCCTTGCCTTCACTCCCCTTGCATTCACTCCCCTTGCATTCACTCCCCTTGCATTCACTCCCCTTGCATTCACTACCCTCTCACGCACGTCTTGGAGCAGTACGTCCAGGAATCGGGTGAATAGTGTCTGACAGATGGCAGCATGCGCCCTTACACTCACACTATACAAACAGTCCCAGACTCCCTCACTCACACCTTGGAGTGTCTGACAGATGGCAGCATGCGCCATTACACTTGCACACTAGAAATAGTCCCAGTCTCCCTCACTCACGGGTGCAGCACGTCCAGGAACCGGTGCATCCTAGTGTCTGAGAGCTCTCGGAATCCCTTCGACGCGTGCTCTTAAAATCACACCCTCTTGCAATCACAGTACTGTACAGTCACACGTACACTCCCAATCCCCCTCACTCACGTCTTGGAGCAGCACGTCCAGAAACCGGTGCATCGTAGTGTCTGAGAGCTCTCGGAATTCCTTGGAGAGACGCAGGTGTGAAACCAGCCTGCCGGGGGAAACGGGAGGTGGAGAAGGAGAGGGATGTAAGGCGCAAGAGGCACAGACGGGAAGATTTTTCAGGCGCCTAAAAAATCGGGAGAGGGAGAGGGATGTAAGGAGCAAGGGGCGGAGAAGGGAAGGCGTAGAGGCGAGCTGACTGCCTGAGAGCTCACGGAACTCCTTCGAGGGCGGAGGTTTGAAACCAGCCTGCAAGGGGAATGGGGGGTGAAGGAAGGGAAAGGGAGGGAGGCAGGAAGACGGACTGGAAGGAGGTGTGATGGGACAAGCCGAGCAGACTGTCTGTCAGTTGGCGGAACGCCTTGGAGGGGTGGAGGTTCGAAACCAGCCTGCAGGACATTACCAGCACCTCAGCAGCACCACCACTTGAACCTGACTCACTGGTGAATGTGAGCCGCGTTGTTGACGAGGTGAAGCCCTCTCAGTATCTCCATCCTTAAAGGATCACAGAAGAATCGATTTCACACTGCGATTTCTCGCTGAGATTAGACAAAACTCACTGTTGGATGTGCGCCGCATTGTTGAAGAGGTAAAGCCCCCTCAGAATCTCCTGCACAGGCACTTTGTCTCCCTTCGCACCACCACCAGCACCACCACCAGCACCACCATCAGCACCAGCACTTTCCCCACCAGCCTTCGACCCCCCAGCCTTCTCAGCACCCCCCTTGTCTTTCCCCTCCTTCAACCCCAAACCAAAGAACCCACCCTTCCTCCTCGGCTTCTTCTCCTCCTCGGCCGCCGCTTTCTTCTTCCTCCTGCCCTCGCCCCCATCCCCCGAATCCGCCACTGCAGCAGCCACCAGCGGAGCCTTTGCCTGAATGGCCATCCAGAGCCCCTCCACCGTTTCAACGGCTAGATCTTGCCAGTCTGGGAAATCGTCTGGCTGACGTTCAAAGATGATATCTAGGAGCTGGGCGTACGACCACAAATCCCCGCCGCTGCTGCTGCTGCTGCCGCAGCCACTGTCCACTGCTCCTGCTGCTGCTGCTTCCCCTCCTCCCGCTCCTCCTTCCCCTCCCCCTCCTCCTCCTTCCCCCCCCCTTCCCGCTCCTCCTCCTTCTCCCCCTCCTCGTGCAAATGCATTGGAGGTTGATGTTCCCCCCCTCGGGGACAAAGGTGGTAGTGGTGAGGGCTTAGCTGGTGAAGGTGCATTAGGCAAAGGCGTAGAAGAGGCATCGGCAGGAGCACTACCATCACCATTGCCAGCACTGGCACCAGCGGCAGGAGAGGGGTAGGTGGCACCCCCGCCCTCCGTAGCAGCAGGGGAAGGGGAGGGGTAAACAGCAGAAACCGAGGAGGCGGGGAGCACGAGGGAGCGGCATGTGCTGAGGGCAGGGGTGCTGGTTAAGCGGCGGAGGGAGGGGCGCCGGGAGGAGGAGGATGAGATGGCCGCCCCTAGCAGCGTGTGCTTGGTGTCCCTGGGGGAGGGAGGGAGGGGGGAGAGAGGGGGGGGGGGGAAGAGGGGGGGTGGGGGTTGTGAGGGGTGGGAAGGCAAAGAAGGATTTGAAAGAAAGATGGGGCCCAGCACACGGCTAGGCTTCCTAGGAGCGTGTGCTTGATGTCCCTGGCGTGGTGGGGGGCGGGGGGGGGAGGTGGGGAGGAAGAGAGGGAGGGAAGAGGGAGAGGGGGAAAGAACGAAGGATGAATTTGCCATCATCCCGTTGTATTTTGAGACGACTCAAAATACAGGTGAATTTGCCATCATCCCGTTGTATTTTGAGAGTCGACTCAAAATACAGGTGAATTTGCCATCATCCCGTTGTATTTTGAGTCGACTCAAAATACAGATGCATTTGCCATCATCCACACAATGCCTCCTGAGCACCCCACAATGCCTCTCAATCCAACGCACCAGCAGCAGTACTGACGAATGCGGTCCACCACAAAGATAGTCAGGGGGTCGGCCCCCACACCCACCACAATTCAATTCACCCTCTGCAGCCCCTACATTCTGATCGTCTCACCAGCCCCTATCTTCTGATCGTCTCACCAGCCCCTACCTTCTGATCGTCTCACCAGCCCCTACCTTCTGATCGTCTCACCAGCCCCTACCTTCCGCCTTCCAAGACTCACCAGCAGCAGTACTGGCGAATGCGGTCCACCACAAAGATAGTCAGCGGGTCGGCTCCCACGCCCAACCCCCCACTCGCTGCTTTCCCTGCCTTCCCTCCTGGCAGCTTCAAAGGGGTCCTGCCTGACTTGATGCTATACTGCCGACGCAGGCTGTCTGCCTGCTTGAAGCTGGGAGGTGGGGAGAGGGAGGAGAAGGGAGGGGAGAGAGGGAGATCAGGGAAGAGGCGAGGGACGTGGGATGGACTTTGATGGTGCCCCGCCTGACTTGACGCTGTACCGCCAACGCAGGCTGTCTGCTCGCTTGAAGCTGGGAGGTAAAGCGGGGGATGTGAGAAGAGGTGGAAGGGAGAGAGGAAGGGGGGAGGATGTGGGATGGCTTCGAAGGTGTCTTGCCTGACCTGACGCCGCTGTACAGCCGACGCAGGCTGTCTGCTCGCTTGAAGCTGGGAGGTGGGGGGGGGGGGGGAGGGGAAGGGAGGGCGAGGGGGAGATCAAAGAGGAGGTGGAGAGGAGGGCCGAGGGATGGACTTTGATGGTTTCCTGCATGACTTGCTGCTGTAGACGACAAGCAAACCCATAGACCACAAGCAAACCCATAGACCACAAGCAAACCCATCGACCACAAGCAAACCCATAGACCACAAGCAAACCCATCGACCACAAGCAAACCCATAGACCACAAGCAAACCCATCGACCACAAGCAAACCCATAGAGCACACGCAAACCCATAGACCACTAGCAAACCCATCGACCACAAGCAAACCCATAGACCACAAGCAAACCCATCGACCACAAGCAAACCCATAGCCAACAAGCAAACCCATCGACCACAAGCAAACCCATAGACCACAAGCAAACCCATCGACCACAAGCAAACCCATAGACCACAAGCAAACCCATAGACCACAAGCAAACCCATCGACCACAAGCAAACCCATAGACCACAAGCAAACCCATAGACGACAAGCAAACCCATAGACCACTAGCAAACCCATCGACCACACGCAAACCCATAGACCACAAGCAAACCCATAGACCACAAGCAAACCCATCGACCACAAGCAAACCCATAGACCACAAGCAAACCCATCGACCACAAGCAAACCCATAGACCACAAGCAAACCCATCGACCACAAGCAAACCCATCGACCACAAGCAAACCCATCGACCACAAGCAAACCCATCGACCACAAGCAAACCCATCGACCACAAGCAAACCCATAGACCACAAGCAAACCCATCGACCACAAGCAAACCCATAGACCACAAGCAAACCCATCGACCACAAGCAAGCCCATAGACCACAAGCAAACCCATCGACCACAAGCAAACCCATCGACCACAAGCAAACCCATCGACCACAAGCAAACCCATCGACCACAAGCAAACCCATAGACCACTAGCAAACCCATCGACCACAAGCAAACCCATACGACCACTACAAGCAAACCCATAGACCACAAGCAAACCCATAGACCACAAGCAAACCCATCGACCACAAGCAAACCCATAGACCACAAGCAAACCCATCGACCACAAGCAAACCCATCGACCACAAGCAAACCCATCGACCACAAGCAAACCCATAGACCACAAGCAAACCCATCGACCACAAGCAAACCCATAGACCACAAGCAAACCCATCGACCACAAGCAAACCCATCGACCACAAGCAAACCCATAGACCACAAGCAAACCCATCGACCACAAGCAAACCCATAGACCACAAGCAAACCCGTCGACCACAAGCAAACCCATCGACCACAAGCAAACCCATAGACCGCAAGCAAACCCATAGACCACAAGCAAACCCATCGACCACAAGCAAACCCGCCCTCACCCGCCCGCCACGCCCTGCAGCGGCGTGCACTGGGCCGCCACGGCTCGGAGCTCCGCCATGATGTCATCCCTGCTGGCCTGCATTGCTGCCATCGCTGCCGCCGCCACCTCCCCCTCCAACTGCTCCCACTCCTGCACGCCCCCCTCCTGCTCCCCCTTGCCCCCCTGCTCCCCCTCCCCCTCCTGCTCCCCCTTCCCCACCCCCTCACTCGCCTCCCCATTCTCACCCACTCTCTCGCACCCCCCCACCCACTCCACCACTCTATCTGTCAGCCGGTGCACTGTCCCAAACATATCCAGCAGCGGGAGCGCCCGCTCCGGCCGGCCGCCCATTCTCCCCCCGCCCTCCCCTCGCTCCTCCTCCGCGCTCTCCCGCGCCTGCTGCACCAGCGCGCGCCCCTCAGACACCAGCGCGCGGAACGCGCCGAGGAACCCGCTGCCCCGGATTTCAGCTAGCACCGCTGCCCTGACGTCCGGGGGGGTCGAATGGGCGTTCCCCTCCTCGCCGTCTCCCTCCGTCCCCCTTGCGTCCCCGCCCCCCTCTTCGCCTTGCCTTGATTCTGATCCGCCATCTGCCTCCCCTGCTGCTGCTTCGGCTGCTGCTTCTCCTCCTCCTCCTGCTTCTGCTGCTGCTCCGTCAAGAGTCAGCGCCAAATGGCCCTCGCGTATGGCATGCTGCTGACAGAGCTCGTATATGTACGAGTAGAGCTGGGGAGAGGGAGGAGAGGCGGCGGGGGGGAGGGGGGGGGGGTGGGTGGGAGGAACGCGAGGGCGGGGTGAGGGGGGGGGGGGGGTTGTTGGGGAGGAGTGGGAAAGAAGAGCTCCATAAGACCCCCTCAGGTATGGCATGCTGCCGACAGGGTGAAAGGCGGGATAGCTCAATGGGGCCCTCGCGTATGGCATGTTGCCGACAGAGATCGTCAGTGCACGAGCAGAGCTGGGGGAGAGAGGGGGGAGGGGGGAGGGCGCGGGGGCGGAGGTGGGGGAGGGTGAAAGGAGGGAGGGGGGAGGGCGCGGGGGCGGAGGTGGGGGAGGGTTAAAGGAGGGAGGGGGGAGGGCGCGGGGGCGGAGGTGGGGGAGGGTGAAAGGAGGGAGGGGGAGGGCGCGGGGGCGGAGGTGGGGGGGGGTGAAAGGAGGGAGGGGGGAGGGCGCGGGGGCGGAGGTGGGGGAGGGTGAAAGGAGGGAGGGGGGAGGGCGCGGGGGCGGAGGTGGGGGGGGGTGAAAGGAGGGAGGGGGGAGGGCGCGGGGGCGGAGGTGGGGGAGGGTGAAAGGAGGGAGGGGGGAGGGCGCGGGGGCGGAGGTGGGGGAGGGGTGAAAGGAGGGAGGGGGGAGGGCGCGGGGGCGGAGGTGGGGGAGGGTGAAAGGAGGGAGGGGGGAGGGCGCGGGGGCGGAGGTGGGGGGGGGTGAAAGGAGGGAGGGGGGAGGGCGCGGGGGCGGAGGTGGGGGAGGGTGAAAGGAGGGAGGGGGGAGGGCGCGGGGGCGGAGGTGGGGGGGGGTGAAAGGAGGGAGGGGGGAGGGCGCGGGGGCGGAGGTGGGGGAGGGTGAAAGGAGGGAGGGGGGAGGGCGCGGGGGCGGAGGTGGGGGAGGGTGAAAGGAGGGAGGGGGGAGGGCGCGGGGGCGGAGGTGGGGGAGGGTGAAAGGAGGGAGGGGGGAGGGCGCGGGGGCGGAGGTGGGGGAGGGTGAAAGGAGGGAGGGGGGAGGGCGCGGGGGCGGAGGTGGGGGAGGGTGAAAGGAGGGATAGCTCAACGCGGCCCCTGGCGTGTGGCGTGCTGCTGGCAGAGCTCGTCTATGTACGAGCAGAGCTGGGGGCGGGGGGGTGGTTTCGGGGGGAGGGGGGAGAAGGGCTCAATGTGGCCGTGGCATGTGGCATGCTGCCGGCAGAGCTCGTCTATGTACGAGCAGAGCTGGGGGGGGGGGGGAGGGGGGGGGGGGAGAGGGGGGGTGACAGGATGGGAGGGGGGAAAACGAGGGGAAACAGAAAAATGTGGAGGGGAGGGAGGACGGCCAGGCTTAGCTGCCCGCCCTGGAAATGGCAGACATCGTTCCATTCGTCGTTTCATTCGTCGTTACATTTCGGAGTTTCATTCGTCGTTTCATTCGCCATTTCAATCGCCATTTCATTTGCCGTTTCATCCCTATCCCTACCGCGTACGAGATGTCTTCGTGCCACATCAGCATGGCCAGCAGCAGCGGATCCGCGCTGCCATCGCTGCCGTCCCTGGGCGGCTCTCCCGCCTCCCCCGCCAGCTGCGCGCCGAGCTGCTCCGCGCCTTCCGCATCCCCCGTCAACAGCCGCGCGAACTTTGCGCGACACCTGTAAAACCGCGGGGGGAGCAGGCAGACGCGACGATCGGTTTTGGAGATGAATACATACTAAACCAAGTCCGCGCCAACCAACTCCTCCGCTGACTGCCGGGCAAACTTCTCGTGGGGCCTATTCGCATGTAATAAGTCGATTTTTGAGTCGACTCAGAAATCGACTTATTACACATGTAGCGCGTGCGTGGATGTACAGTCGTACAGCAGAGCCCGGAAATGATAAGAGAGAGGCCTGGCCCATGGAGTGGCGTAATAATGCATGGCCTCGGCTCAAAGCACAGCCCAGCCCAGCGGCTCGTTGCCCAGCCGAGCTGGTGCGATAAAAGGAGTCTATTTTTGGGGCGCCTAAAGAATACTGGGGTAGTCATGCCTGGCCCAGCGGCTCGTTGCTCAGCCCAGCGGCTCGTTGCTCCGCCCAGCGGCTCGTTGCTCCGCCCAGCGGCTCGTTGCCCAGCCGAGGGGGTTCGATAAAAGGATCATGCCAATATATCGCGAAACAAAAAAGAGACCAGCTGGCAGCTGCATTGTCAATGCGGGTATTCGTCGTGTGGTGGTACTGGCGACCCTCTTTTATAATTTTTCCTCCTCAACGTCCCGCTTTGGGAAACGGTAAAAGGCTACAAGACAAGCGGCTGGCCGGCAAGCTTGATGTCCAAGAAATAAGCTGCGTTTACTCGTTTAGCCGACTAAAAAAGCACGTTGCTTGATGAGCAGGCTTCATGTCCGAGAAGATACACTAAACGTTCCTTCACTTAAGGTAAGAAAGAAAAAACTCGGGCCTAGCTTCTTGTCGGAGAAATAAGGTACACTGGACGTCCCTTTTACTCGCTCGTAATTCTTCAAGGCATTCTGTACTTCTTAAAAGAAAGGATCTGGGCGAAGAAAATGCTTGGACCAGATTGGGAGCGGTGAACGAAGAATTAGGGTTTCGTACCTATGTGTATCCATAGGACGCAAAGCAGCCTGCGCTCGTCAAACGCCTTGGTAGGTCATGGCCGAACAGAGCAGCTGTATGTGTATGGTAAGTTAAGAACGACGCGTCCCGTATCGTCCGTAAATCGGCCAAAATGTGTGACTGAAGATTAGATAGATAACTTAGGAACGTCGTTACGCCTATGATAGTCGGAACTGCGGAACTGCGTTAGTGAAAAGCCCACTTGGCAATGACGTTGGAGGGTAAACCGCTAAAAGCTAGTTAGCTGGCACTAACCCTTTGAAAGCTGCAGCAGCGAGCAATGGTCTTGGCAATGGGGCTCCGAACCGAATGCAGGCCCCGAAGTAAAAATCTGTCACCAAACCGAACGCGTTCTGGAAAAGAAGACGCCACCAGTTCGGGACATCATCTGGGAAGGCAAATTTCCGTGATGTGTCAGATTACCCTCGGTGGGCTCTAAAAAAATCAGGATGCCCGTACGGAAACCCTCGGTACATTCTTTGATCCCATTTCTTTACATTTCTGACAAAGTAGCTTCCAGTTCGATGAGCTACAGCTCCATGGTTGCAGCCGCAAACCCCTCTCTCATCGCGAGAAATGTCCTGGTTTTTAACGAAAGGGTTTGAGATTCTGGAGTATTTTTAAGAAAACCCCTCAAATTCTTATTTCCACGGGTGTGAACTATTCAAACGCGAGGTGATGTATCATGGTGTCTTAGGTCGCCTGCTGAAGTTTGGACGACACCAAAGTTTACCCACGCGATTCGGGTTTGGAAAATTGACATTGCAATGTTCGGACACCCGACTCGAACTCCGGACAATCCAAAACCAGACGGTTGCATTCTGTGCGAAATCGCCGCACGACCAAAACCGAACAGGGTCTCTGTCAGGAGTGTGCTGGCATGTGACCGCACTGCGTCAATATGTGAAAGAACGCCGTCACGGAAACGTCCAACCGCTGCCCAGAAAGTACATGCGCCTTCCAAAAAAAAAACCCACATGCATTCGTGCCCAAACGCTGCGCCACACCCAAACCAACATGCAAGCTAGACACAAGTAGAAAAGCGCGCACCACCAAACCGAGAAGCAAATATCGAGTAAGGAACCATGGCGAGCCCGCTAGAAACAGCAGCAGCCGTTGTAGCCGCGTTCATGCATTGGCAGAGACTTGAAGAGAGGCTACCGACGTCATCCTCGCTCAGCTAGCACTAGAGGAAATAGATGCCATTGCAGCAGAGTCAGCAGTTCGCAGGGCAGAAGCGCGCCACCTGAAGGTACGACGCTACAAAGCGGCGCAAGTAGCTAGGATGGCAGAATGGATTGCACAGATTAATAACATGGACGAGGCCGCTTTCGTATATTTTTTTCGTATTAACCGTGACATCCTGGAGCACTTAGAGGCAGGGATGTTGACGACTTTCGCAAGGAGATTCTGTCGCACAATGTTCCATTGCGTCTCTGCATCCTAATCCCTAAAAAATATCTGGCTTCTGGAATGACATATCTCGATATGAGTGTTTACTTTGGTGTCCCCGCATCTGTATGCCATCTCATTGTCGATCGTTTCCTGCTTGCATTTCCATGCCGACACAAGGAGACGTGGGTCCGTTTCCCCACCCGAGACGAAATGGCTGGAATGGCGGCGGAGTTTAAGGAATGTCGGGGGGTTCCAAATGTTATCGGCGCTGTGGACGGGACTAATCTGCAGGTCCGTGGAATCGACGACTATCGCAGTGAATACTTTTGTCGCAAACAGATGTACTCTGTGCAGCTCCAACTGACCGTAGATGTGAAATGCCGCATTTGGGATTATGTAGTAGGATGGCCAGGATCTTCCCATGACAGCAAGGTTTTCACGAAAAGTGCGTTATATGCCAGAATGGAGAACGGAGAGATCAGACCGTATCAAGTCTTGGGAGATGCAGCCTACCCTCTAAAGGACTTTTGCCTAGTGCCTACACACGCAAGCAAAGTGTGGCTACTTACCGGATGGCAACAAAGCTTCAACTATGTCCAATCGTCAAGCCGTATGACTGTCGAGAGGGCAATGGGACTCTACAAGAACCGGTGGCGGATCTTCGACGGGTGCCATGGTGGACGATTGTGGCGGGTGTGTGCGGGAGCCAGATGCTGTTGCGTGCTCCACAACATGATAGAGTCGCAGATTGAATGCCGCAAGTCTTCGCGCGGCTGGTGGAGGGATGGGACGTCACGGAATCTGAATCAGTGGTGGGAAAGGCAAGGGATGCCATCCTATGTATGGTATCCCACCCCATGTGCCAACTGCGCTGAATGCGTCGCACGCAGCCAAGACTTCGGAATGCATATCCACGCAGCGTGGCTCGCACGACACGAAGACTCGCATGTCATGGAGGTGCAATGAAGTACCAGCAGCCGTCGACTCTCATGACGACTGTTGCTTGCGTGGGTCCAGCAGGCGCTGATTCCGCGTAAAGCTGTCGTGCCGGCCCTTCGTCGTCCGCGCCCTGCACATGCGTTGTGACGGTAGTAGGACGTGCTGGCGCGACAGCTGGAGCCATTGGCGAGACTCGAGTGCGAAGCGCCGGGGCACTCGTTGTCTGGCGAGGGGCGGATTCTCGGATAGTGCTTATCTTGGGGGAGTTGCCGCGCTATATGTTTGTTACCATGCTGTTCGTTTGTCGTTGTCGCATATTCCCTTCCCAAGCACCCCTCATATGGCACGATACGGGTCGTATCCACTTACAGTCATCGCCCGCGCGGGTGGCATCGTCGACGGGCCGACAGTTGCTGGACCTGTAGTCGGTGGCACACCGATGGCAGGACCAGCGTGCTCCGTACGCGCTCCACCCTCGTCGACGACGTGCGGGTTCGGAGCGCGGTCGGACCGCAAGTAGTTCCAGACGTTCTGGTACCAGTCTGGCTTTGCCGTCGGATGGTTTCCGCTCGTCCCATCCGCCGCCTCGATCTCCTCAAGGTGCGTCTTTAGTCGGGTCCACTGCTTCTGCAAGGCGTCTGAAGGGAGTCTCCAGTTCGGATTGGCTTTACAATGACTCGGCGCAGTTTCTTCCACGGCTGCGCACCTTGCTTACCTTTCATTGCATCGAAGTCTTCTTTGCAGGCCCACATCGCGGCGACGAGTTCGGAGAGCTCATCCTCTCACCATAGCTGATTCTTTGGTTTCAAGCCACCCTCCGAGAGCTTGCCGTTGGGGTCCGCATCGGTGGTCGGGTCGGCAGTGCCCTCTTCGCCGCCCTCGTCAACGGCATTGGTCGCATTGTACGTGTCAGAGTCGTAGTACGTGTCGTCCTCCGTGTTGACTTTGTCAGCAGCATCGAGCGGTGATAGACCGTTGTACTCATCCAGCACATCCTGATCACGCCCATTGCCGGAGGCGCGAGAGTCGTTGGACTTGCGTGCGTTCTTTTTCGCTGGGGAATCTGGCACTCCTATCAACCGAATACGCTTGATTCCATGAGCCTCCAGCTCCTGTATGTATCGGACAAACGGAGGGGGTGGGCGTGGTTCTGGATCGTTGGTCCCGTCGTTCGGGCGCTTCCCTTTGTCACCCTTCTTCTTTGGAGCCATGGCGTCTAGTAGGTGGCTAGGAAATGGGCAGGCAGTGCGTCGGAAGTATCGGCAATGTGGATGTTGCTGGTTTCGCTTCTCTTTTTAGGGTCTATCGTGTTTGGTCGATTGCTTGGAGAAGAACCCCAGTTGTTTGGCAGGCCGCCTGGATCTCGGCGGGCAGTTGCGGTTCCATTTGGGTTGTTGCCGCATTTTTTTTATTTATTTTTTTTCCTTAACGTTGGGCTACGATTTGACAGTCGCGTGCGTTGGCCGTCAGAAGTGGCAGTGAGGGGAGGTTCCCGCATTACAAAACCAACTCGGTCGTAAAGGTATTGTCCTCGACCTCTGATTGGCCGAGATGGGAAATTGGTCGCGCAATGTTTAAAATAGTTCTCATTTGCTCACACAGCGGTTCGTTGTGCGCATTGTCCAGAGTGGGGTATAGCCCCACACGGACACCACCAGATACCCAAAACTGATTCGCGTGGGTAAACTTTGTTGTCGTCCAAACTTCTGAAGGCGATCTTAGCTTCCAGAACGCGATCTCACAAATGGGAGGAGGGGAGGGAGGAACGGGAAGGAAGGGGACGGGAATGGAATAGGGGAGGGAGGGGAGAGACGGGCTGGAAGTACGGACGGGACAGGTTTCATGACAGGTTGCACAAAAGTAGCCTTCTATTGATTCGACAGTAATCTCGAGAACTGCTTCTAAATATCGAATTGAGGGTTACCGCATTACGATTATATCGCAACAATTGTTCAGTGGTTCTGGGCTGCACCGGTGGGTCGCCTCTTCCTTTGGGAGTCTTCCGCGAAAGTTGCGAACCAATCGTGTGCGTGGAGATTCGCATTTGATTGGTCTCGAGCATTTGCAGAAGGCCGAAGAAGCGAATCGGCCATCGAACAAGGAACACCGGCCAATGAACCTGAAGTTCAACATCTGTAGATCACGTTCTGGAGTTGGGTCGACGAACGAGGATTTCCCAGGCGATTCGGCTCCCTTTTTCGGGATGTAAGGCCGCGTTCTGAAGTTTGCCCATCCCGCGAAGTTTGCCCATGCGGTTCGGGAAATAAAAAACACATTTCAATGTTTGCCCATCCGAATCCTGACGGCCACGAACCATGCGATGGGGGTCCACCACCATATGCGAACGGAGTGGCGAACGGGCATTACCAGGCATACTACCCACGTTCCGAGCTCTTGAATCCTCGTAGAGACGTTATCTTGGGTGCAGTGCCCACAATCTCCCAGCGGTCAAATATGGTACATTTCAATGAAGTCAAAACCAACCTTGGAACTGCCGCGTGTTCCCTCTTTATTTATTGGTCAGAGCTATCGGGTTCACAGGGCCGGTCGTTAGGTGAAATGTTTTGTACCATATCGCTGACTACGTCGTGCAGTCTTTGAACGCACTTTGCGATTGGGTGTGATTGAACCCATTTGGCATTTCGTCTCCAGGGCTCACGAAGTCTAGTACGAGGCTCGCACAAACAATCGCATGGGGGGTTTGGGTCGGTGGGCAAATTTGGTTCCTACGAAGTTTGCCCACCAAACAGCCCAAAACCGAGTCGGATGGGCAAAGTTTGGGATGGGCAAACTTCATAACGCGATCTAAGTTTAGTTCACGCGTATCATCGGCTTTTAAAGCTCGAGTCCCAAATTGCGTGTCGCGTGGTTCAAGCTTTAGAAAGATGAAATTTGGCGATTTTGGGGCGTTTTTCCACGCAACTAGGGTTATACACACCGCGAAGGCACCCGATTGGTCAAAATCTTGACTGGGGGGGTTTACGCGGGTTGGCCTGCGGGAACTTGAAAGTGGGGGTCATTGCAATTTGGGACTTCTGCATCCCAACCCAACCAGTGCCCCTGGGATTCGCTGACTAAGCGAAACGAAATACACTCGCGACCGGTTTGCCGAATTCAACAATATCGTCACTCACAAAATATCTAAATGTATTACGTCATGCTTCTAAAGCATGAACGTTTTGGGCTGCGGGCTTTAAAGGTAAGGAAGAATTATGTAGGCTTCTGTCAACACTTTGAGAAACTCTTTCCGTCACTGATTTCTCACTGGAATATGTTTATTAAGTGCACGTTTACGTAGAGATCAAGGCCTACCTTTGGTTTTTCACTACTCTGATTTTCGCAAGTGACTCCTGGCCTAACTCTGATTTTCAGTGTGCCCCAGGCCTCGAACTCTAATTTGTCATGGTTTTTTACACCTTTTCAAAAAAAATCTCTGACACTGTACCGGATGTCGCAGGATATACGCCCCACCTTCTATCTCGCACCATAGCGCGTTTCTCCGGATAACCTCTACTGAATCTGCAAGTTTATCGAGATTTTTTGCCGAAATCTGCCTTATACAGTCAAGTTACGGTTGGAAATTGGGATCCGACGGGTTCTCTGAAAAGAATCAAGGCGCATTCTGCGCTTGGGGCAAGCCCCGAGACATAACTTCCGAGAATCAGTCATACGGGGGAGTTTGCAGTGGCCCCAAAGTTTATTAATCTTTCTGATGCCTGCAAGTTCTGCCTCAGGCTTGCCCCGAGCGCAGAACACGCCCTCATTGTAGGCTCTGTCCCAAAGCACCTCTCAGTCAGCAGCGCTGCTCACGCTGGCAGACATTTCGGGTGGGAAACAGCAACGAACAGCCAATCATGGCTGATCTGGCAGAATATTTTACAGCTGATATCGTTAGTACTGTTTGAAATCTTCCGCTAATGAAGAGAGCAAAGTGCACGCCAGTGATTGGCTGGCGCAAGTGCTGTACAACAGACATTCGTCGTGTGTTGACAACAGTGGTATTGTTTGCGCAGCCCGGCGTTTACAACACACCAGAGAACTAGCGTGACAAACAGAAGGGGCTGGTCAAGCAGCGCTGATCAGAGCTGGGTTGGGTTGGGTTGGGTGTGGGAGGGAGGAATGTGTCTGGGTTGCGGGGGTTGAGAGGGGTGTGACTGGTTGCAGAGGACATCGCCAAAATTGTCCAGGTTGCGGGGCGGTGTGACTGGTAGTGGAGGACTTCGCCAAAATATTCCAGGTTGCGGGGGGCATGAGATGGGTGTGAGTGAGTGAGTGGTTGCGGAGGACTTTAGCAAAATTATATAGGTTGCGGGGCGTATGAGGGGTGTGTATGGGTGAGTGACTGGTTTTGGAGGACTTCACCAAAATTATCCAGGTTGCAGTTGGCATGAGAGGGGTGTGACTGGCAGCCGGAGGACTTAGCCGAATACAGGGAGTACAGGAAGAAATCTGGGGTATACTCCCTATTGAAAATCCATCAGGGTGGTATATAAGCCAACTCTAATCAATCATAGAAAATCTATACGTTCAAAATTTTACCCAGGACCATCAAAGTGGTTTTCAAAAACGACTATGATTTTGAGAGAATTGGAGTGATTTACTCTGATAAAATAAGCCCTGTTAGAGACCCGATCTAGGAAACGTGATACTTGCGGTTACACTCCGCAAAACCTGTATATATCAGGAGAAGTAGGCGTACAGCTTGAGAGACCACTTCTCTTGGCAAAACTTCGTTAGTCAGAGCGGAGCTATATAGCGTGTCAAGCATGTGGTACAGCCCTACCTGACAAGTAGAAGCACATACTGTTCGGGTGTCATGGGAGTTTGACGCTGGCAGCAATATTTCCCACTCTCCCAAACCGGTAAAA